TTACTTTCTTACCAGTCCCGCGAGGGTACAGATAAGGCCCTATCGCCGCGGCCCGTTGCTAGGCCGCTGCCTACCTATGTAACCATTTCCGAGAGGACGAGAGAGGGAACAACAATTTATTGTCGCATGCGTCCTTTACTAGACTATGGCGACCACGAACTTCCCGACCTTTCCTAGCGGCTCTGCGGGGCAGAGAGAACGCTCTATCGCTTTCCCAGAGCACGCAGGAACCTTATGGCCACAAAGAGATGCACTACCGAGTGAGTTTTCATGATACACCGGTATTTTGGTCCGTGCACTTACATTCTTTGCGCATGACAAACAGGTTTCTGCTCCCGAACAAAGAGACTGTCTTGTCTTTCCATCTAAGGAACGGTTCAAAGAAGGTAACTGATCCAGGTGCCTGATCCTTTTCGGTTTCAAGTGGATGCCCCCTCTCGACAGATTCCATCCTTTCAGACGCGATTTCGACGGTCGTCGTTGGTGCATACATCCACATATAGAGCGGCTTACCTGGTGAAATGTCTCGGACGGCTAACTTTAGCACATCGTACGACCTTACGACCAATACCGACTACCTCGCTCCAGCACATTCTACGCCGTGCCCCGTACCCGCAGTCCGAACGAGTCGAGTTCACGTCGCGAAGCATAGAAGGTATTCCAAAAGGTTCATAACTACCAACTCACACAGCAAGACGTCCATAAAGAGCTAAAGTCCACAGCGCAGCAGGCAGCCCTGAGGAATATCGACGGAGGCACTTTGAGCAGAGCAGCGGTGGGAAACGCAGGGAAAGGAATGCCTAAGGCGAAAGAGACGAGTTCGGAAGATGACATGCAACGAGGCGATGACTACGTCGGGGTTATCTTACACGATCTATATCTTCACACATATCCTATCACCGGCCCCGAGGACAGAATAGCCCCCGCGGTGATGCTGAAGGGCCTCATTCCAAATGCCAAGAGCAAGCGGTCCTCCAGCAGCCAGCGGAGCGTGCGGCCTGCTCCAGACGTCGCGAATCTGCGGTCCCTGAGCACGTTACTCATGACCCGACTCCGCCATGCCCGGGATGAGCATGTGCGAGGCGGCCTCAGTGAGTGGTCCGACGGTGTGTGTGTGCTGTGAACGGATTATAGCTGATGGTTCCTTAGCGGGCGGATTCTGGTACCTGTGTGTGCACAGCGGCGAAAAACAATTCCTGAAAGAATTCATACCACACGCGCGGGGCAAAATGGATATACCCGAGACCCATATGTACACCGACTTGCATTTCCGGGCCTTAGGGATGGAGCCGGGCCAATCGCCTAGCTTCGACTTCAAGGCTGGCCATGAACAGGTCTGCTCTTGGAAGCGATACGTCGACGTGGCAAACGCCGTCGACTGGAATCTCCTGACAATCCTACTCCACTCGAGTCGGTTTCGCGAGTTGGTGCGCGATCTCGATGAGGATCAATGGGCTACACTCCTCGAAGCGCTGGAGGAGCGGAACATCTCGATAAAGCCGGCTGGATACGCATGTTTCCCCGAGTGGCGCGATACGTTCAGGACCGCACTGCCGGGACAAGACGTGCTCTCAGACGACGGGTTTCCGGCCACCTGAGATTACATCACCCGGTTCCACCACCGGACCAGCGTCGACGGAGAATCGATCGAGCCGCTGCCAACCAAGCGGCCGTACACGTACGCGCCCACATCCTGGGTGCGGTCCGGAGCCGAGAAGAACATGGAGATCCTGCCCGCTCCCCGAGAATGGAAATGCCTGAGCTGCTCGCGGGGGGAGTGCCACTGCCCGTTGAAATTCTACAATCCGGTCAGAGTCGAGCTGTTCGCAGTACCGAGCGATAATTGGGTACGCAAATATTCCACGGGCGCACGCGCGCTCCACGCGATCGCCGCCGGAACGGTCATCGGACACTACACGGGAGAGATCATCTCGGATAAGAACTATCACACCGGAGATGTCTACGTGCTATCAGTGTCGATGGAAGTAGAAGCTCTCTACGACGTCACCGCTGAGCGAAGAGGTGAGAGATTTTCCCGGGCGTTTTTTTACCTTTACCCGCCGAAATGTTGCAGCGTTCCTGACTGACTCGGCGCAGGAAACCTCGCGAGATTCATCAACCACTCCTGCCTGCCAAACTGCAAGATCACGGTGATAACTTGGCGAGGCCGCAGGCTGGGCGTCATCTCGTCGATAGTCGGCATCAAGCCGTTCGAGGAGATCACGTGTAGCTACGGCCCCAGCTATTGGACGCGGCAGGAATACCTCTGCGCCGCCGGGGTCCATATAGACTCAAAGGAGTACCCCACGTACTTGCAGAAATGGAGGAGGCGACAGAAGGTTTATGCCTCGGGGTCTCCTCCTGGTGTGGTCTTTTCATAGACTCTAGAGTGAGCGGGACCGATATGGCGTTCGCCACCGGGCGGGGGGAAGGGGGGCAGGCACCACTCACAGTCCGCTGCGAATGGATTTTTTGGCTTTCCTGCATAGGTATCATACATAGGTACGATGGCGGACGAAGCCTCCAACTGCAGACGATCTCCGGAACGCGGGATGCTTCGCCTGTAAACTATTTTAAGGCTTGATTAATGGGGCGCTTCCTTTTTGCAGTCTCGCGTCCACGTGAATGCATTGGGATTGCCGACTTCTCTGGGTCCGCCGCGTGCTGAACCCGACTTTGGGGGGCCAAGTAGGTACCTATTCTTCTACATAAGCGCACGGCCCCCGTCCCCCGTTGTGGGAACTTGGAAACATGGGAAACACGAGAAGCATGTCCCATAGTTACCGGTGTGAGAAAGATGTACCGGTAGGTAGCCGATGGAATCAGCGATGCGCCATTAACTCACTAGGATCAGCGAACGGTCGACTGGACGATAACTAGTGCGTGGGGCAAGGAAAGACGGGCCGTCTCGGCCGCCGCGGTGGGTCGCTTAGCCAGAGGAGCGTTATGTACCTACCTTACATACCACCTATGGTTACACGACGCAATAGTTGATATGATGCCACGCAGGCAACGTAGGCGGCACAGACTCAGTGTGGGTGGTAAGAATTAGGTATGTACTGGTACTATCTACACGGACAGCCGTGGTAAGAACATCTTTGCTGTGGGCGGCACAGATGCGGTACAGCACTATAGTTATGACACAGACAGCCGCAGCAACAACACCTTCACTGTGGACGGTGCCGATACAGTTCAGGCAGCCTGGCAATCGTCTTGCCTCTTTGGACCATTGGCGATCTCGACGGGGCCAGAACAGATACCGGCAATCGACGGGTGAGCTGAGCTGAGCTGAGTGGGCGGTTTCGGCCTTTTGGATGGTGTAACCCCTCCTCCCCCCCTCTTCCCTATGAATGTATATACATACCAACCGGTGAGTCGGCGGACCGGCGCAGCTGGTTAGTACCTTCTTAGGCTTCTAGGCTTCGCTGTTTGCGCTGCTCGTGACGGGTGACGGGCGGGATGTGCAGGTAAGTGGGCGCAGAGAAGATCCGACTCGCGATGAGATGTCTCACTAGGGACTTCACGTTAAGGCTGAATTCAACGCTTCCATTGACCCGTTGCAAGCCCCATTCGTTCGTCGGCTGCGAATACGAACTTTAAAACTCTATCTCCAGTGCCGAACCACGGTCCGTGGAGCACACACGAGCGCGCTCCACACTTGTGTGGGGAAAAGCGGGGAGGGGTGGGATCATAGCGTGCTTTCGAGGCTGACTAACCGGTTAGCTGTGGAGCTATTGACTCCAGGGTGAGTACTATGCTTACTTTTAGTACGATACTTACTCCACACACCACGATTGCGGGGTTGTGGCGCCTTCCCCAGACCCCACTGGCCACCGATCCGCGTCGAACGCGACAACGTCTGGCAAAAGACAGCGGTTAAACGGGCCTGTCATACCGGTTTCTTGCAACATCACCACTTCCAAATTTTCGGGGAAGTAGGCAGGGGGTGCCGGACCGGGTGGTTGGGGGCTGCCTGACACTCTCAATCCCACTGTTCTTCGCCCCCCCCTCCCTCCCAAAAAAAGTAGAGTCTGTATGTACATACATGCTACCGAGTACATTGCGTCGAGAATCTTCCCAAACGCTCGCAAATTACCTCTGCTGGTGATCGTCACTGGGACTAGACTACCGTATGCGAACGCGAGAGATACGGCCCCCAGAATCTGAACTCAAGACTAGGATTTCGGCGTGGGGGGGAAGGGGAATTGGGGGATGGGGGACGTCCATCCTTGAATCCTTGACCGTTGGGTGCTTTTCCCGGAACCTCGTTCGAATAGAGAGTGTCCTGATATGCAGATACTATCTGGAGCCTTCAACGGAAACCAGCCAAGTAGATTGACTACTTATTGAAGCTCCATTCCCCCCCCTCATATTCCAGTTCTTCAGCGCACCAACGACAATTGCACCCATTCACCCTCCAACAGGCTTTACCTACGCCTCGTTCCAACCCTTCAAGTCAAGCAGACCCCCCTCACCCCCCCCCCAAAGACTACACAGAATGGCTCCCGGTGCCGTCGCTCCTACGAAGCACACCAATCTGCTGGGCGGACGTGAGTTTCCAGCAGTAACCTGGTACAAGGATCCCGGATTGCGAAAACTGTACCTCCTTCTGGGCACTGTAATCATGGTGTCCGCTACCAATGGTTTCGACGGTTCGATGATGAACGGACTGCAGACGGTACCCAATTGGAAGAATTGTGAGTAGTAGCAGCAGCGGGTCTCTTCTCGCCTTGAAACGAAAAAATAATTGTTAACATCGAATCAGACTTCGAGCCTTCCTCTTCCGAGCGTGGTCTTCTCAACGCCATCCTCTCGGTAGGATCCATCTGCGCCATTCCAATCTCCCCTTGGCTGGCCGATTGGCGTGGTCGTCGTCTCGCCATCACCATCGGTATCACGATCATGTTTGTCGGTGTCGCTCTCCAAACCGCTTCCGTCAATCTGGCTATGTTCACTGCCTCGCGTTTCTTGGTGAGTCCACTACCAGCATCAGAAGATAAGAGGATCGATTGTAGTAGTGGTATGCCATATGTACTAAAGTAACTCGTCCAAAGATCGGTTTCGGTGTCTCCCTTGCACACGGTGCCGCCCCCCTTCTCGTCACAGAGTTGGCTCATTACCAGCACCGTGCCCGTATCACGTCGCTCTACAACACCACCTGGTACATCGGCTCCATCATCGCCGCCTGGACCACGTATGGTACTTTCCGCATCGACAGCACTTGGTCGTGGCGCATCCCGTCGGTGCTCCAGGCCGCCCCCGCCATCCTGATGATGTCCTTCATCCTTTTCGTCCCCGAGTCCCCTCGTTGGCTCATTGCCCACGACCGTGCCGACGAAGCGCTCGACATCTTGGCGCGCTACCACGCCAACGGCGACAGGCACGACGAGCTGGTTCAGTACGAGTACACCGAGATCAAGGAGACCCTCGCCATCGAGTTGGAGGTGGCCAAGGTCGGCATCTCGGAGCTGTGGGCTACGCGCGGTAACCGCCACCGCATGCTTATCTGCATCTGCGCCGGTTTCTTCTCGCAGCTGTCGGGCAACTCGCTCGTGTCGTACTACATCGGAGACATCTTGACGCAGGTCGGCATTGAGGACCCGGAAACCCAGAACATCATCAACGGCTGCCTCAACATCTGGAACATGCTCATCGCCTGCGGCATGGCATTCGCCGTCGACAAGGCCGGTCGTCGCCCGCTTTTCCTCATCTCCACCGGTGGTATGTGCGTCATGTTTATCTGCTGGACCATCGCTTCCAAGTACGCGGTTGAGAACGGATCCAAGGCGGCCGGTTCCGCCGTCGTCGCCCTGATCTTCCTGTACTTCACCTGCTACAATCTGGCCTGGTCCGGCCTGCTGATCGGCTACACCGTCGAGATTCTGCCCTACAAGATCCGTGCCCGTGGAATGTCGGTCCTGTTCATGTGCATCAACTTGGCGCTCTTCTTCAACAACTACTTGAACCCGGTCGCGCTCGAGCGCATCAGCTGGAAGTACTACATTGTGTACTGCATCTTCCTCGCGTTCGAGTTTACCGTTGTCTTCTTCCTCTTTGTCGAGACCAGGTACGGCCCCCCATTCTACCCACTGTCGCTTTCGCATGCTAACCCTACATCACAGATACACGCCTCTCGAGGAGATCGCCGCCTACTTCGACGACCCCGTAGCCGAGAAGGCCAAGCACCGCGTCGAGCAGGCCATCCAGGAGACGACCGTCGTGGAATTCCCGTCGAAGCAGGAGGCATAGAATGTAGCCTGTGGTGTTCCCGGAAGCATATTTCACGGTTTCGTTTGGATGTTTGGTCGTTTTTCTTTCACTTCTTTTCCTGTCTCTTTCAAAACTGTCGGTATACACGAATTCTAGTTTATTTTATTTTTTCCGGCGGGTGACCGTGTTGTGTGGGTTGATTGCACGACGATATATGTAATCTGGCGGGATGCTTTAGGTACGGGCTGTGGATTTGTATGTAGGAGGTGGTGCGTAGGAGCGTGTGGAGCCTCGAATAAACTTCATCTCCAACCCCTTTACTGCCGTGAACCCGGCGTGGTAATAGCCTCTTGCGGTGGTGGTGGAATAGTGATTATTGTTCCGTGTGCACTACTACCTACTAACTACACCCCCCACGAGGCAGCCAGCCAGCCTTAGTCCGGGGAAGGAGAGCATACCTCGTGCAGCGCGCCGATAACTACATCTGAGGTAGGACAAAGATATCACCAGATAAAAATTAACCATGCATAGGTATGCTCGGTATGCTCATCAGGCACAAGAGCCAAGTCCCCCACACCACCAGGGCTATTTACCAGAGATTCAGCCAAACCGTATACCCGTTTGCCACTAGATACTGGCAGCACCCACCCACCCACATAAACGCGGGTAGCACGGGGGGCACGAGGGGTAGCACGCAGTGTGGGGGATGGGGTGGTGGTGGCCGCATGAACTTATGAACTGCATGATTGATTGGTAAAGCACTGCCATCCACAGGCGTGTGTATATTAATCGCCTCGCGAAATTCCGCTGGCCCGAAGATCATAGCTACGAGCTGTGAGCTGCGTTAAGGCGGGCGGCGGCTGGCCCTGCATATTTATCCGTAGTATGTACAGTGTATATCACGGATGGGCTCGCCGTTGGGATGCTTATTTGAATTCGGGTGGCGTGCTTATGTTACACTCTCCTTTCTAGCCATCATACTATGTATGAACCAGAAGCGACGGCCTGAACTTTGAAGGCCATGCGGGTATCTTTTCGCGCTCTTATAGTACTATAGAGTAAACGTACTGCTCAGTGGTAGCACCCGTGTCCGACTACGGCGGTTTTTAACAGTTGCCAAAAGTCGCCTGGCCCCCCCGGTCACATGCCACATGCCTTACCTTGCCGGCCAACTTCCGCCGAAGCGATGGTGGATTAATACCTACGGCAGAACATAAGTCTCGGAGGAAGTGTCCGGGTCGTCCCTGCTCCTCCGTAGACTATAGTTACCGGACGGCTCGCTCGCAGAGTAGCGCCCTGATCCTTCCCCTCTCACTCGGGTCTCGCTCTCGTACCGACTCCGTGTTCTGAAGAAGTTCGTCGTTCGTGCTCTTGCCTAGTCATTAATTACCCGTGATTTTTCTACTAGTGGCTATGGCGATAGCCACTTGGGTAGGAAAACAGCCACCTTTTCCCAGCCCACTATCCGAACTAAAATCTGTCGTGAGTGACCCACCATGACGCACCTTCCGCATGCCGGAGACATTGACGGCGACACACCATCATATCACGGTGATACGCTACGGCATGAGGTCTGGTCAGAACGTATCGTATGGGGCAAGTTCAATCAGTGATGCGCCGTCACGACGATACGAGTCACAGTATCACACGTCTGTCCATCGCTCTCGGCCCTCGAAACGTTCTTGAGCAGTAGTTAGACTGTAGACAACTAAAGTAAAGTACATACACGAAACGAAAGGAACGTGCGCTCCGGACTGACTCTAACCTCCCAGCCTCCGTCACCGCCGTAAACCCACAATCCGACTACTGGCACTAATACCACCACGGATTAGTACGGACACCCTCTTCAAAGAGCCTACGGTGTAGGAACATACCTGAGAGTAGTAGTCGTTGAGCTTGACGCACGTAGAGCTCGCGCACGCGGTCACACCAGTATATCCAGTTCCTCCGCACTGTCCCCACACAGCGACTGTGCCGCCAGCCGCAGCTGTGGTCGTCGCGGCAGGTGGAGCGCTAGAGGCGGCTGTGGTGGGGGCTGTGGTTGCAGGCGTAGTAGCCGCGGTCGTGGGGGACACCACGGTGCTTGCCTTCCCTCCAGAGCCCGTCCACACCTTTGGCCCTGGCACTTGGTACGTCGTCGCCGTGGACGAGTAGATGTTGATGTTGACGCCGGGGTCGGACATGGAGAAGGCTCCCGGGAGCGAGACGACGTATTCTCCCGACGGCGACTCGGTGCCCGAGCCGGTAACGGTGAGCTGTGCGCACTCCGGGTAGCTAGGTACATATCAGCCCCAGGATCGCACTAGGTGGGGGGGATGTACCTACAACTGCGGAGTGTTCGCTTGGTGCAGCGCCAGGAGCTCGTGGCGGACCAGGTAGTTCCCCGGCGCCAGAGCCGCAGGGATCGTAGAAGTCCACTTCAGCGTCTCGAGGACCACCGTGTTGCCCCAGCGGCCTTGGTTGACGGTTCCAGAGATCAGTCCGGCCTCGTCGATCTTTCCCGGTGCCAATGTCAGCTTCAACAGAGCTAGCCGGATATAGGGGTCCTTGGGGGGTTCAGACCTTAAACCATACTGCTCCGGAGCCGTCGAAGTCTGCGCACGATGCTGGGCACTTGGCCATGTATACCGTCACGGGACCCTCCGCGTGTCTGTGGGGAAATCAGTCTCGATCGACGACAAAGCTGCATACCAGCGTGCAGCGTAAGCTCGGGTATCCTGGTAACTCACGTCCATTGCGTCCATTCTGTGAAAGATTGGTTTCATCAGTTTCCGTTTACAGTGTACACACACGACGTCGGTCAGGCAGCTACTACTCACGGGCAGTGATCTGGGAGCCAGCAGCAATCGATCCATGCAGCGTCGAAGTCTGCCCAGCGTTGTTGCAGCGGATGTTGGTGCCAGTGGGCGTCAGGATGGGGTCGTAGCTGCTGTACTGGCGCTGGATGGTAGATTGTCCCGTCGCGGAGTTGTAGGGCTGCCATCTTTGATGGATCGTGTGTCAGCTTGGATGGATGGATAAAAGGCTACGGATGCGTTCGAGGTTTTGGAGCTCACCCTGGCCAGTCCTTTCCGCCAAAGGTGTACACTCCTACTCCACCATGCGCCGAAGCCGACGTGGCAAGGAGTGCGATGGTAGACAGAAGCGCGGCGGTGAACTGCATGATGATGGTGATGGAGTCTGTATATTGAACTTCTGGCTTCGACTTGAAGGGCGAATGAGTGTACAGCGAATAGAATCCGGACCTCGAGAGATATTTATTCCTTTCCCACGGTTTCAGCAACAGTGCCTTCGTCGACGAACGACGTCTCTACATAAGACGAAGAATCTTCGCGATCCCGGTTCCCTTCCACTGCTTCCATCCGTGCAGATATTGGAGCCCGGCCCGACGGTAGCTACGGAATAGGTACCTCCCCAATGTTATCAGATAGAGTATTCCGGCGCGGTCGGATGTTATTTCGCTGGGTAAATACGCCCAGATTCCCATGTCCCCGTTTTCCGGGTGCACCCCGGCCCGCGGATCCTCGACTCCACGTCCTTATTCGCCATTCTGCTTCCCCTTTGGAACATAGCCCTTCCTCAGGTGACAGTTTGGGGACATACATTTCGACGTGGGACTTCATCCCCTTGTTCCCCTCTCCCCGTATGTGGTGGGTGTGCTCCGTTTCAGGGGTCGACGTTGCGATTGGCCGGTGATCATGTTTTCCGGTTGCTTTACCGCCTCTCCTGTTACCGACTACCCGATGATGTTTGATCTATAATCCTAATCCTAATCCTAGTCTGTTGAGTTAAGCTTACTTAAGTTCAAGACCTATGGGTAATGACAGCTCGTCAGAGAATGAGGACCACTACGAACTCCCTCAACTCTTCAATGTGGCTTCGCTTTGCTGGAATAGGACACCGCTTGGCTTACCCAGGTAGAGAGATTACGGAATCACGAAGTCTCGCTAACCACCCAACAAGCACCACCTCTGCAACCGTTGCCACGAGCACATCTGGGGTGCAGGGAGGAGGATCCGAGGATGTGTGTTGTCGATCAGCGCAGGAGTCGTAAAATAAAAAATATATCTCGTTGTAGGCTGTGCTAAATATGCGCATCAATTGTCATCAGATGCATAGCACTATGCCCACGGACAGCCTCGACCTGCCCAGTGCCTATCGGAAGTTCTCCCGGTACCGGGCGCTCGGTTAACGCGGCCCGGGTCGAGAATTCTGAACAAGTGTCAAATGCGACGAATGCGCGCTCATGTATCACTCGGTTGTGCCGCTCAGGCCGAGTTTTCGCAGCTTGGATTCTCTCTCACTTCACGGACTCCCGCCGGCAGTAACTGGTAGTTGACCGTGGTTGAATTCCCGATATTTCCGGCTCTGTCGTCTTCTGCCGTCGCTTTCAAATCACGTAGATACCTAGAACTTGGATCCAAGAACAACAGATGCGGTAATACCAGCTCTTGCGCCGCGTACATACGCAGTTGGATTCGCGGAGAGGAAAGCATATCCGACGATTCCGCATATCCGCCATCTGTGTAATGTTGAGAGCTTTCTTCCGACCACTGGGCATGGCGGACAACCATCAACAGCACTAACTAATGGATCAAAGAACTCCAGTTTTGGTACTTCTTCAGAACTATGGTCGATCGAGCGAGGGAAACAGTTCCGAGAACGTTGAATCCTAGTGTCGGGTTTGAAAAGCGATTTAACGGGGCTGGATGACTCTGTCTTATATCAGTATCGTGTATGCAACAGAACTCGACGGAGCTGGGCAGTCAGCGGTCGATCTAGGTGTTGCTGTCAAGTTGAAATCTACGTCCGGGGGGATATCTCAGTGTTCTTCACGATGATACCTCTCAGCCCAGGCTATGACAGGAGAATTTCGCCTCGGTTTTCCGCGCCCTTCCTAGCAAATCTATCAACCCACAGAGATAAGAAGAACGGCATATCGGAGAGATGGTCTTCAGTTGCCAGGGAGTGTCACCGGCGCAGTGAGCGGACACGTATGTATGCACCGTCGGCTCATATCATCTGTCGCAAACCACTGGATGGGGAGCAAAGACCCTCTTGTGAGGTCGCGTCGTCGAAACCCCGGACGGATAAGCGTAACGGCCGCCGGGAAGTGCCATTCTCACCGAAGAACTTTCTAACCGTGCAAAGACACATGCTGAGGGAGAGGAATTTCAAGAGTAAGGCCAGAGGGCTCATCCGAACGTACAACGCTGCGCTCGAATGAGAGAAAGAGAGATCTTCGGTCTATTTCGCAGGCAGCGCTCTCGAATGTGACCTGGAACCCCCATACCTTTCACCATCTCGAGCGAGTGATCGCAAGCCGTTTTCCAGAATATCGGTCCTGAAGTAGGTTAAGCGCACACGCTTCCATTGATTTATGCTTCGTGGAAACCCAACCTAAATCATCCACGGGCCACATGCTGCCGCGCCATTCATGAGCACTGAGAATAGAGTGATCGGTTATTCTACCGGTGGTGAGATATTTGCTAAGCACGGGCACCATCTCAGCCCCGACGGATCTAGAGTGAATGACAACTGCAACCTTCCATAGAACATCGACAACACGGAAAATCTAACCCTCTAGCATCCCGATCGAAACAAAAACCCGACAAACAGGACACTCTGCTTCACCGCATTGGTTCCCTTGGGTACAGTCGTGATCTGTCTCTGGGAGGCCTCAGCAAGAACGGACCAGGCGGTGGTTTTCTAAGCCTTTTGAAGCCATGTCCAACGCCGATATCACTCCCAGCACCGTCGGCTTGTACCGCACAGCGCAGGACGGAATGTGGCATATCTCGAGCACGATCGGCTCCATCTCCTCACGTAGCATGGCGCTGCATGATGATGCTCTGAATACGACTCGTGGTAGAAGCGCGAGACGATATAAAAGCCAGTCCTCAATGTCGTCCAAGAGAAACCAGAAACATCCGTCTTCGACACCAAGAGACTTTCTTCGATCCGTCTTTACTTTCCCCATTCTGAAATTCAATCTCGAATCATGTGCAATTCCTTGATTTCTTGGGGCATGTTCCTCGTCGGAGTCGTTGCGGCGCAGAACGCCGGGGTTAGTGGAAACCTTTCCTTTGCGCCGTTCCCCAGTTGATATATGGCAGATTCCCGCAAACCAGATCAATCCCGCGCATTTCCCCGGTAACATCCAGTTTGTCGGGACGGCCACTGCGCTCTCCGGAACCGTCGTCTACCAGCCCCCGGTTGCTACCGGCGTGTACCAGCCCCCGGTTGCTACGGGCGTCGCCCCGGTCCCCGCCCCTGTCGCCACCACCGTCGGCCCTGCTCCGGTAGTGGTCCCTACCAGTGCGGTCTCCTCCGTCCCAGTCGCTACCAGTGTCGCCCCCGTTCCCGTTCCGATCGCTACCAGCGCCAGCAGCAGTGCCGTTCCAGTCGTTTCGAGTGTCGGCACTGCTCCCGCCCCAGTCACTTCCAGTGCCGGCCCCGTTCCCGTTCCGATCGCCACCAGTGCCAGCAGCGTTGCCGTTCCAGTCGCTTCGAGTGTCGGCACTGCTCCCGCCCCAGTCACTTCCAGTGCCGGCACTACTGATATTCCGGTCGCTACGAGTACCGATACCGTTGTCGCCACGACCGCCACCCCCATCGCCACAAGCGTATCAACTCCCGTGCCCGCGGCCCCCAGCACCGCCACCGAGACCGTTTATGACTACGTTCTTCCCTCGGAGACCGTCGCGCTCTCCACTGTCGGCACCCCAGCAGCCTCTGTGGCTCCTGTCGCCGGCACCGGCGTCGGCGTCGGGACCGGCGCCGTCGCCCCTTTATCTGACGTCGCTGCGGCCACTCTTGCCCGCCGCGTCGCCATCGGCACCGCGGGAGTGTACTACGAGACTGCGGGCGTCTACGGTGCCAACGTCCCGGCATACGCCGCGCAGTACCCCGCCACGGCCATCTACGACCAATACCCCGCCGTAGTCGGCACTAGCGGTGTGTACTACGAGAACCTAGGCGGCTACGCCGCCCCGATCAGCCCCGCTGTGGGGCGCGCCTACGCCCGCCAGGTCGTCCCCGGATCCTACGGCTACGCCGACACCTACGGCACCGCCGTGTACGCCCAGCCCGCATACGCCACAGGCGCCTACTACGCCACGGGCGCCCCCGACGCGGTCTACTACGCCACCGGCACCGGCACCGGCGCGTTCGCGGCGACCGCTGCCGTCTACGACAACGGCTACGCCGGGATCTACCGCCGCCAGGACACCAGCACATCCACCGACACCGCCACCTCCACCTCCATCCCGACCACGACCATCACCTCGCAAGTAACCGGCACTGCCCCCACGGACACCGCCAGCGCCACCGCGGAGCCAACCACAACGGTCACCTCACAGCTGACCGCCATCCCCAGCGGAACCAGCGATACCACGCTGATCTCCAGCACAGACACCACCATCGCCCCGACGGCAGTCTACCCCTCCACCGGCGCCAGCGGTGTCTCCGGCTCCGCGACCTATCCGGCCACGAGCGTCTACGGCGCCACGACCGGCACGCCCTCGCAGCCTGCGTCTGAGCCCGCTATCCCCGCCAACTCTGGCTCCGACCAGACTGTCGGCCGGAAGAGCGCGGTCGCCACGTTCGCCCTGGTCGTCTGTGGTATCGCCGCGATGCTCGCGTAAGCGAGTCGTCCGCTGTTTTAAGTAAGACGATGGGGACGCCGGGGAAGAGTGTGTAGAGAGAGAAAAGCTAGATGTAGAGAAATGTTTTTTAGACTGTGTTTCATAGAATAGAATAAATGAATTGACAATTCATGATGTGAGCTGAAGGTGCCGAGTGACCACTTGTGATCTGCCGTGTTGTGCTTGCATCATTGCATCTCCGTGGCAGCTCCGACGTCGCGGAATGACATAAGATTCCGCAGCAGCAATACGTGCAACGGATGGGACGTATGTAGAAACAGCAACGGACGGACGTTTTTGGTTTTTTTGGTTTTTGTTTTTATTTACCTATTCAGTAATTGCATGCGACCTATGTAGATCATGGCAATATCGCCCCGTTCACCCCCCCCCCCCGGTTTCCACGCCACTGTCCAAACCGACTTGCATCGAGCAGCCCGATGTGGCTTTCCCTGCCCCCGCCCCGGCCTGTCTCGAAAAAGTAGACACAAGATAAAGACTGAAATGGGCCTGCATGCCCGCCCGCCCCTTCCCACCTCTCTTCTCTCCCCTACGGGCTGACTCGCCCGCTCTTCCCACCTGCCCTCTGTCCCTTCGGTTTGAAGGTTTTCCGAACCCTTTTTGTGGGGTTTGCGTGCCTTTTTCGGCCTGGCGTTCTCATTCCCGCCGATGATGACGGTCACATGTACGCCGCCCCTGCCGCGAGCAATATCAGCCCACGACGGGACGCTTCCCTCTCTTTCATGTCCTGCCCCTCTCTTCTCCGCTTTCCCTTTCCGCTTCCTCTCAACCTTCTTCCATCCCTCATCCATCTCAGTGTCGCGAGGTGGAGACGCTGCGGATACGACAGATGCTGGTGGTTTAGGTCGTACGGAGTCGGACTCCGATTCCCTATGCTCAGATTGCTCAGGCGTCGGGGCGGGGGAGTTGGCTCTCGTCAGCCTCTTCGGTTGGTGCAGGGTTGGCGGTCCCGTCCATTTCCGTTTCGGCCGCGGAGGTGGTGTCGATGGAGGAGGCGGCAGCGGCTGTGAAACAGGCACTGCTTGCGCTTGCGCCCGGAGTTCCCGGTTCTCCTATGTGAGCTTGTCGATTTGCTCACGCATCGTAGTGACAAGACCCTTAAGGTCCTTCACCTCGTCTGCTGTCGCATTTTCCACTGACAAATGACAAGTTACAGCTGCTAACCGCGTCTTGATGTCGGTCTGTACGATCGCAAGCTCGGAGCGAAAGTAGGACTGGATCTTGGTCTCCAGGAATTCGAGGAGATTGACGCGCGTCGGGGGGGCGGTGTGGTTACCGCTTCCACCGTCGGAACGACCCTCTTCCTCCGTAGGCAGTGATGCTGGTGGAGGGGAGGTGGTGCACCGGCGAGCCTGGTGCCTGGGGCACCCGCAGAACGGACGGACAGACGGGTCACATGCTGCCGTGATTGGCTCACCGGGTGATTAGCAATGATTAGCAATGAACAGCCCGCGACACGATCACTCGGCGCAACCTCCGTCCACTTCCCCCGGGAGAACCAATCGCAGTATGTACCGTACCGACTTAGCATCGAACCACTTCATCCACTCCACAGCAAGGTTATTCCATACTCACTCGCATCCCCTCTCACATCGCAGCCAGCAACAACCCGGAAAATCCCCCGGGTAAATACCCGTCAAGGTCGAGGTTGAGGTCAAGGTCGGATGTTGCTACTCGGCTCGCTGCCATGTCTGTCTGTCTGTCTGTCTGTCTGTCTGTCTGTCCGTTCGGTCATTTGTTCGCGGCAACGGTTCTCCCAGGTGCGCAGGTATGGTCCGATTGAATGGCAAACGTCGCGGGGATCTGGCGGGGGTCTGGCGGGGATCTGGCGGGGTCTGGTATGCACACTGCGGTATCTACCGACAGTGCCTGTGCCGGTGCCTGTGTCGGCACGGTGGAGAGAGGTAGGACTCCGGCCTGACGTTTTGGAAGATGGCAGTTGGCAGATGCCAGTAGGGAGGGAGGGATCGGGATATGCACTCTGCTAAGCAGATACTATTAGACACCTCCAGACCTATACTCTACTATATCATACATCTTTCTTTACCTTGCCCAACTGCCAACTACCACCCCCGGCGGTACTATCGACACCCCATCCCCATCTCCGCCACTTCCCCGGCGCAAAGTGCATGCTCCGGCGCAGAGTGCGGTGAGGAGATACTATGCTATGCACCGACACCGATATAATCCGCAACAGCCTCGTTATAGTACATTAGGAAGTTCACCACCTCGCGCGCACGTGAAAACGCCGGTGTACAAAGCACAAAGCCTAGGCCGTAGAACAGCATAAAGGGCTTCTAGGGTTCCAGGATTGATACCCCGAAGGTGAGGAGCACCTCCACCTACACCCCCAACCCCACCCCCCGCCCGCACTTACGCTGCCCCGGACATTCCTACTTCCTGCTTCCGTGGTACAGCGGCGGATTGGCAATTGGAGGCTCTGAGCGTAGTCGTGGGCGCTCGGAAGCAACTACCGACACGCGGAGAATGGTTGTTCCCGCCCGCGGGTATTAGTATATGCCGCAGTTCTCTCTCTCTCGCTCGCACCGGCGCGCGTGTTTGATCTTCGCCTGGGAGTCGAAGGAGTCCTGATGGCAGTCAGCGGATAAGCTGGCAGGTCCATAGTCCGTCCCCAAGACTCGTGCCGGAGACTCGGAGGAGGTAATTGAGTTTGGAGAGGGGGAGGGGGAGAGATGCACATCTGGAGGTGAGTCCGCACTCTGATTATTCTGGTCACTCTGGTATCGGCGGGGTGGGGGGTAATAAAGCACACACCGAGATCGGAACTTGGAACTTGGAACATTTCATTCAGATTCCAGATTCCTGACCCGGAAGTGAGTGTGTCCTGGCAGCTACGACTCCCACTCACTGGCACTGGCACTGGCACTCGCCACTCGCCACTCCTACTCCCACTCCTACTCCCACTCCCACTCCCACTCCCACTCCCACTCCCACTCCTACCCGCATTTGCACTCGCCATTTGCACTGGCACTCGCCACTCCCACTTCCACGAGCACTGACACTCCCATTCACACTCGCACTCACCATTGGCACTCACATTGGTACTCGCACCCGAACGCGCACCCACACTCGCACTCGCCATTCGCACTCCCATTCCCACCCACACTCACCATTCATACTCGCCATTCACACTCCTACGAGTACTTCAACTCCGACAAGCACTCCCACTCCAACTCCCCCTCACCCGCTTCACTATCATAGCAGAGTACTCGCGGCACGTATATTAATAACAAGTACATCATGTACTTCATATTCTTTATTCTTTATTTTTCAATCCGTATCAACCCATATCAATCCGTATGTACTATGTAAAGTCTCAAAACAAAGGGAAAATCATTTATCAAAACAAAAGACACCAGACACCAAATACCACCTCCCACCGTTCCAACTCCCTCGCTCGCTTCTCCCGCTGAAACGGATCGCAAAAAAAGAGCAAGCACGAAGACACCGCACGCAATGATGAATGAAGATGAATGATAAATGTGGAAAATTTTCCGAATTCCAAGTAAAAGAAAAACCAGCAACGCCTGCAAAAAAAGTACTAACTAAAAACCCCCCTTTGCCCCGCGAACCTGCGTGCTTATTGAAGAGAAACCACTGCCCTGCCCTGCCAGAGTAGAAAATATAACAAAGAAAATATAAGAAAAGAAAAGAAAAAGATAAAAACAGAAGACTCCCCCCGCGCAAAAAAAAAAAGAAAAAAGAAAAAACTCCGTGATGGTACAGTAGATCGTAAACAAAAACAAAACAAAACAAAACAGGAAGAAAGAAATGAAAAACAGAAAACAAAAACAAAGAACGCCGTTCCATGTACAAGAGAAGATGAAATCCATCGCTTCCTCCTCCTCCTCCCTTTCCCTTCCAGTCCCATTCCCATCCATCCAGTCCAATCCAATCCTGATCCAATCCCGCATTTCCCATGCTTTCAAATCCCATGCTTTCCCATTTCCTCCCATTTCCTCCAATCCATCCACCAATCCATCCACCAATCCCATTCCCAGTTCCCAATCCTATACCAGCAAATACTGCCACCCCTGGACCTCCATAACCTCTCTCCAAGTCGCCTCCTCACCGGCCTCGCGCACCCTCCAGACCTCCTCAAGGACAGTCCTCATGCGTCCAAAGCTGCCATAATCCCCCTCCTCGCCGAGATGCGCACACCTCTCCTCAAAGAACCTCCTAAACCCACTATCCGGGGCGGCAACACCACCACCAATGAGCATGACCCACACGAGGCTGCGATCGAAGCCATCGGGTCCGGCGGGGATCCCCTCGAGGCACGCAGTGAGCTTCTCGAGCAACTGCAGAATCTGCGGCTGCGTACGATCGAAGCCAGGGACGAGCGAGCAGAGGTAGATGCGTGCTGCGCAGCGGAAGGCGGACGTCATCTGTGCGGTGAGCGCGCGCGGGTCGACGCGGCCGCTCTGCACTACCGGCGGTGGGGTGTGGCACCCCGAGGCTGCCGACGCGTCCTCCGTCATGTCGATCTGGTGCGCGAGCGACTCGATGTGGCTGCATAGGTCCATGTCGCTCAGCATGTTCTGTGTCTTGAGCGCTTCGAGACAGGCGATCTCAGAGATCAGGTACATCACACGGTCTTCGCAGCCCATGAGCTCGCGGAGCCCGGAGTTGCCCGCGGACAGGTGCTTAATCCGGTAGGTGTCGGCGAAGAGCGGCGCGCGGCCTAGCATGGTTGCTCCGAGGATGTCGATCCAGGAGGTCAGAGTCATGTTCAGTGTCGGTGTCAAAGGTGTGTTGCGGTCGATGCGCTGCAGGTACACCGTCAGGTCCAGCTTGTTGACCAGGCTGCTAGCGGCCTGGAAGTGCTGGTGCCATGGGATGTCGGGAAGCGAGTCGTCAGGCGAGCCAACCGAGCACTAGTGAGGATGTTAGACGACGATCGGAAGAGAGAGGGAGAGAGATAAATACCTGAAAGAGGATCATGCCCAAGGTGGCTTCAAGAATCTTAAGGTGGTCGGTATCCTTGTTGAGGGCCTCGCACAGACCGGAGATGGTCTTGAAGCGATGCCTTGTGATGTCCTGGTCGACCAGGTCGGCGTTGACGCCCGTCAGGTGCTGTGTGGTCTTGAGGTGCAGCGCGGCGATGCTGAGACAGCAGTGGCGGTACGACTCGTTGTTGATCAGAGCAGGCACGACCACGTCCTGTCGCGCAGTTCCGTGCAGGTCCAGGATCGGGAAGATCAGGCGCTGCACATCCCGGAGGAAGTGATCGAGCAGCTCGCGGTCGCCGCCCTCGACAGGCACGTATGCCAGTGCCTCGTTGGGCACGTACTGGTTGTAGTCGAAGTAGTCCTCGGAAGACAACGGCTCGGGTGCTGTGACGTGGTGAGAGAAGAAGGGCTGCTCGACTGCGACTGAGTTCCGTCGCAGATTACTGCTGGCGTATGAAGCACTGCTCGATGACCGCCGGGGAGCGGGAACGGGGAAGCCATTCACGTAGGTCTCCTTCTGTACGAAGCCGTCGTACTCGTAGGGGGACTGCACACCGCCAAAGTGCTGCTGCTGCTGTTGCTGCTGCTGTTGCTGATGATGGTACTGCTGCTGGTATTGGAGCGGGTGCATGCCATGGTGCATGTGCATGTCAACCTCCTCGTACTGTGTGTACTGCGAGTCGATCGAGACTGATCGGTGTCGTGCCAGGGTCTCGGAGAGGGTGTCGGATGTGGGCAGCGAGTGGGACAGATCGGGCGGCGACCCGATGCTGTTTGGCGGCGATGTGAGATGCGCGGCCTTCTCGGTGAGCTTTGTGCGTTTGATGGACGACTTGATCAACTCCTTCTGTCGCTTGCGCTGGTCGACGTTGCCCCACCAGACGGGTCGCTTGTACTCGCATGTCAGGCCGAGGTGTTTGCATGCTGAGCAGCAAGGCTTGCCCTCGTCACACTTCTTGCGACGCAGACGGCACGTGAAGCAACCTGTATGCGAAGGATAGAGTCAGCTTGATGTTTGTTTTATGTTTTTATTTATTTTTATAAAAAAATAAAAAAATAAAAAATAAAAAATAAAAAATAAAAAATAAAACCCATTTTATTTATTTGTAATGCATGCATGTGCGGGAAGGGAAGGGGGTTGGGTGGATGTGGATGTGCGTACCTGTGCGGGATCTGCGGTGTGTTTTTGTGGATTGTTTTGCAGCCTTCTGCTGCATGGCGGGCGAGGCGGCGATGGAGGCGGAAGCCATCTGTGCTGTAGTGGAGGAGAGTATTGTGGTGGTGGTGGTGGTGGTGGTGGTGGTGGTGGTGGTGGTGGTGGTGGTGGTGGTGGTGGTGGTGGTGGTAGTGATTGTTGGTGATGGAGGCGAGAACCGCTGATCGAATAGAATGCGTGCGCCCGACTGTACTGTCCGACTATCTCTGTCCAACTGAGTGTTTGTCGCTGTCGAGATGAGGATAGCAGTTATTATTTCCAAGTAGAGGAGAGAGCACAGCAAGTAGTAGTCAATTTGTAGGAGTCGAAGGAGGACTCGAGGGTAGTTCTTTTTTTTCTTCCTTTCGTATTAAAGAGGAGGAGGGGGGTGTGGGTGTGGGTGGGTGTGGACGACTTTAATGCAGCTGCCGAATGCTCGCAGGCGACCGGGGTGGTTGTTAGGCTGGTTGGTGGACGAGGGTGGGCGAGGGTGAGGGTGGGTGGAGAGGGTTGGAGAGGCTGTCGACAAATGTGGAAAGTCGGGCGGAACTGGGGTGTTGATTGGGTGTGAGCGAACGCTGCAATGGAATGCCCTTCTAAAAGCAGATCCGAGTCGTAGTCGCTATGGTAGTCGCAAACTCCGGGCTAAGTAGCTAACTTGGCTGGATTGAAGAGTCGAGAGGCGGTCGGTCGGAAATGTCGATGGTGGTCGGAAAAATCAAATAAAACGGAGAGGCAGACAACTGGTGGGACCGTAAGATTGGATTGGATGGGTGATTTCCTTTCTTTCTTTCTGTCTTTTATTACACACACAGTCCTGTTGTCGTCTCGGAGAAGGTATTTGGCTTCGTCGGTGCAGTAGCTAAGTCGGGGCCAGCTGATTAACTCTGTAGAGGCGGTGCGCGTGCGGGTGCGCGTGCGATTGCGGGTGCGGGTGTGCGTTCGTCCAGCGGAGGTCGGTAGCGTTGGATCGTGGTCGGGGGGCGTTCAGCAGTGGTAATTAGGGGAGAGAACGGGACTCGGTAGAATCGACCGTCGTCGGGCAGTCGCAGACTGTTGATGTTGTGGCAGTAGTGGTGGGGATCGAGTGATGATTGTGATCGATCGTGGAGGAGGAGGTGTGAGAAGACCGCGGCAACTAGTGGACCAGAGAGACCAGCTTCTAGAAGTTACAGGGCGGGTTCTTTATTATCGGAGGCGGGGAGGGGGGGGGGGGGGGGGGGGGGGGGGGGTGGGGGAGGGGGGAGGAGGGGGAGTGTTGAAGGTTGTTGATGCTGCTGCTGCTGGGGGAAGGAAAGAAATCACAACTCTGCAGGGCAGGATCGCGAGTATTTCTATCCGTCGGCTTCGCCAAAAGAAAACCGCTTGAGGGCCTCGGATCTGCATGTCTCTGTGCGGATAGTGGGCGATTAGGTGGGTGGACTGGTGGAAGGTAGGGGAGTTTACTCTAAAAATGGACATCCACCACTCTTGCCTGACAGCAATAGTAGCAGCGAAATGTAGATACGCGCCCATCGCCTTTTTCTCTCCTCTTTTCTTTTTTCCGTTCGTGGTGGGTGGTGGGCATGCACGATCGTACTGTGGGTGTGGGCCAATGCTGCTCGAGCGGTGGGCGGTGGGTGGTCACTGGTGATGGACCAAGGTGGCTATAATTGGCACTCGCAGATGCATAGCGAGTTCTGGTTGGTTGGTCGGTCGGACTCGTCCAGCCCCCCCCGTCCTCCGCTCCGGCATCGCAGTCGTTGTTCCTCCAATAACGTGTGTATGTAGATGGATTCTGCAGGCGGACCCATGTACCGTGCAGAGCATGCAGAGTACATGCAAAGTGGGCTACGGCCAATGGGCACGCATTCGCCATCTCCATCTCGAAGACTTGCAGCTTTCCAGCCCTGCACGTGTGTGGTGTAGACCGGGGAGGGGAACACGGAGGAGTGGGGAACACGGACTCGAAGTGGCCTGTACCGTCTGTAGGAATTCAACAGTCATCCTTGGTACGCTCCGTAAGTACTGTGCTCTGGGTCTCTCCGTACGCTGGTCTCTGCTCGCCATACCCTCCGTACTCCCGGGACTCCCACTGCCAACCGGTACCTATCCCCGCTTGCATGCGTGGTGCTTCCGGATGTCGGAGACTGCATATGACGCAGCACCGGCACGAGCGAGAACACTGCAGAGGCAACTGCCCAGCTGCCCTATGTACCAGGTATGTCCCTATTCCCGCAAGCCCAGGCGTACATAGTGGAGCTGAGCAGCGCACATCCCATCACAGCACATCACAGTACAGCACGGTACCGTACGGTTGGTACTCTTCATACCCATACATACCCGGAGAACACGGACAAGGCGGGCGGGCGGGGATTCTCCTCCTCCTCCTCTCCTCCACTCCTCCTCTCCTCCTCTCCTCCTCTCCTCCTCTCCTCCTCTCCTCCACTCCTCTTCTCCTCCACTCCTCCTCTCCTCCACTCCTCCACTCCTCCTCTCCTCCTCTCCTCTTCTCCTCCACTCCTCCTCTCCTCCACTCCTCCACTCCTCCTCTCCTCCTCTCCTCCTCCTGCACGGCTGCTCATGTCGAATGGAGCCATCATAGGACGAAAGAGAGTGCAGCCACTAGCAGTGAGGACTAGCCCCGGCAGCTAGAGCCTCTAGAGTAGAATCCCCACCCTGCCTGCCCGCCTCGCCTCGCCTGGGCTGCCGGCTAACGATAGATGATAGCTGATTGATTGACTGATCGATATCGCATCCAGCTGCGACAGGGGATGGGAGTTGAGGGAGGTGGCCGGGGGAGGTGGCCGGGGCCGGGGAGGGGATGAGGGGCAGCACGACAGCACCGTGCCGGGATGGCACCGACAACCAAGCAGGGAGGAAGGCCCCACACACACGGACGGGGGAAGGTGTGAGGGGAAAACAGCAAGAGGGTGTGTGGGTGGGTGCATGCGGATGATGCATGTGTGTGGTGTGGTGTGTGTGTGCTCCCCCGCTCCGAGCAAGGCCTTTCGTCTTCTGGCATTTCTGGCCAGGCTCGATGGACTGCTCTCTATCGGTATGCACACACGGCCACCACCACCACCAGAAATCTATTATTACCTCCCCACCACCACCAAAAATCGACGCGGGACTTCGAGATCACAGTGCAGTGCAGCTGCTGCACGAGAACCCTGTCTCCCGTGCTTTCGCCGTAGAGTAGTCTCGCCGACCGAGCGAGCGACCGACCGATATCGATATGGACATGCAGGTTGCGGCCTGCAGAGAGAGAGGTGACGACAGTAAAAATAAAAAACGAGTGGGCTCTACCTGGGCTCCAGGCTCTGGGATGGATTGAACCTCAAGTTCGGGATTCGGCCGCCGTGGGATCATGCGGGCGGGAGGGGTTTCTCGGGCTTCGGCTGTGAGATGTCGGGAGATACGGTACTCTACTCTATCGAGGCGCATGAGTGGAGAATAATCCGTGTCGGTATGTTTCCAGAGTGTAGAAGTGTGGACTCGGTTACGGGTATGTAGAGAATGTACCGTGCTCCACCGGGGGCATACGAACATACGAACATACGAGCATACCGGCATACCAGCACATGGTTGCATGCGCGCGGATTGGCGTTCGATATTGCGGTACGGAGGGTAGCCACTGTTTGCCCTTCCTTCCCTTCCTTCCCTTCTCTCTCCTTCGTTTACTCGTTCCTCTCTACATTCCACCAGAGTCCGTACCTCATTGAGAGCCGACCCCATCTCGGATTCCACATATTCCAGCACTTTTGCACTTCCCCTCTCGCTCGCTCGCTTGGAGCGTTCCGGCCCTCGAGGCTTGAGGCTTGAGGCTTCGTCTCGTCTGGGCGGCGCGGGAAAAGCCTAAAGGGCCAACGGATCGCTGCATAAGAGCATAAGGGCAAATGGGCATAAGGGTCCATCTCTTCGCTGGCTGGCTGGGCTGGCTGGCTGGGCTGTCTGAACCCCGCTCGCCAAATCGGGTGATGCACGCCCTCAGTGCTCAGTTAAATGCAGCTAATACTTTTGTCCCCTCCCCTCAGTCTGAGTCTGCACATAAGATTCGAAGCCGTTAGCCTCTCCTACTCATAGCCATTCGCTTAGCTGCAAATACTACTTTTTTACAGTGAGTGAGACAAGCCATATGCATATGCACATCTACTATGCAGATAACTATGCAGCGATGGGTTATGTTATGTTAGTTATGCCCTCAACTTTCAAGGCTCGGTCAAATGACAGCTAATATGGACCAAAACAGATAACAGCAGCTATTAATAGCACCCGGCCGCGCAGTGAGCGAGATATGGAAATGTCCGCAAATATCTCCCCCGGGAGGGAGGGAGGGGAGTGGGAGCATAAGTGTGTCACGCCCGCTCTACTACCGGGCTAACTGGGTTGGTAGCTGGGTTGATACTCCAACTGGGTTGGCCGGTGGGATGGCATGCATGCCATGAATGCATGCAGCCAATTCGGGAACCACCCATCCCCCCATCCCCCCATCCCCCCATCCCCCCATCCCAGGCTCCCACCACCACACCCACATCCACACCACAAGCACCGGCAGAAAAACATTTGCAACAATAGCCGTACTCCTCTACTCTATGCATAGAGTAGGAATCTAAAAAGACTTATGCCTGATTTGTTGTGATGGATTGGGACGGACAGGATGGACAGGATGGGATGGGGTGGACGGAATGGATGGAATGGAGGGGATCGTCCCGTGCCGTCGATCGTCGACAGCCAGCCATCCAACCATCCAACCAGCCGAATCTGTCTGCCAGCCCCAAAGCCCGAAGCTCAAACGGATTTGCTCGTCCGTGCTTGTCCGTGATCGTCTGTCCTTCTCTCTGCTTGGTCCTTGGCCCCAGCCGTTTCCCTTACGTGCAGAAGAGAGACACGGCGGAGGCGGACGAGTGGCACGTATTCGGATCAAACGAGAAACGTTTACGGACGGTTTTACTACGGCATGCAGTACCCAATTCAAGATGCTGAGAAATCGTTTATTCGTGGTCATCACCTCCGTGGCTGGAAATATACCGAATTCGAGGTCATCCCTCCCCCTCCGTCCAGCCAGCAAGACGGAACAGATCTCCCCCACACCACAACCCTATGCGATCGCCGCTGTCGGTGTGGCTGGGATCCGCAAAGACCCAAAAAAGAAAAGAAAACAGATGCAAGATCACCATGGTCACACACGCCACACTGCTGATGCGATACCCACCTCCCACCTACCTCCTAGATTCATATGCTGAGTGCTGAGGAATAGAGTAGAGTAAGTATGCATGCAAGCCTTTGCCGCCGAGCACCCCAGGTCCCCAACAGCCAACCCACCGACCAACCCACCGACCAACCAACCATACATGCCATATTTACATACATCCACACGGCCCAGACCTGGATCTGGATCTGGATATGGATACTCTATCGTCAGCAGCAGCGGTAGGCGGTGAGCAGTGGGCGGCAAGAGTCGCAAATGTCTGCAATTGTCTGCGATGGCGGTTTGTTGTAAGTTATATAAGTTGTGGGGAGTTCCCCCAACCCCCCGAGCGGCGATGAAGTGAAGCTTTTCGCTTTGCTTCGTTTCGGTTCGGTGCGTTTTGAGCGGCGAGACGGACGGAATGGAGGTAGGTATACACTCGGCACTGGCTGACATGAGAACAGACAGAGAGGAATATACTTACTTACTTCAAGTTGGTTATTACGTCAAGCTGGTTACTGCTATACGTCTCGCCTGTTTGAGTATCGGAAGTTCGGAACCTTCATCGACGCGGCAGCCGACGGCGAGACCGAGAGACACGCTCCTACACTACCTGCCGATTTACCTACACTACCAACTATACCTACACTACCTAAATCCGACACTACATCGGCTACACTACCGACACACCTAACTACTCGCCTATAATAGTCATACAAATACGAAATCCGTTAAGTCACCGGGATGGATCGTCTGCGGGATGGACCGTGTGTAGAGTTGGAGCGTGTGGACCGTGTGTCGTGTGGGGTGGGGTGGGGGTGGGGGGCCGACCGTCCTACTCTACACCAACCAACCTCGAAGCAATAGCAATAGCAACAGACATGACACCAGCACCAGCATTCCGTCTCGTCCAAAGGCCGAAGCCCGAAGCAGAGAGTAACATGCACAACGAGGACCGGACCCCACACGGAAATGAAGATGACATCTACATAATCTACCCATCCCGTATCAACGATTTGACGATCACATCGACTCGTCATTTCCTTTATCGGCTTGGATGGGGGCCATATGAGGGACAGGATGGGGGTTAGGATGAAAGACATGATGCTGGTCAGGATGAAGGCTAAGATGGGGCAAGCCTATTCGATTCAGCAAGTTCAGCTCGAGATTTACGGCCAGAGAGCGGTTCAGCACCAACCACCAACCACCAACCACCAACCGCCAACCACCCACCTCGAAGCCTGACGTGAGACCGCAAGATGCAACACTGCTCTCTCTCTGTCTGGGGGGCACACGGGGGTATGGGGGAAGGAGGGGTGGTACATACCACCAATTCCAATTCCAATTTCAACTCCCGGAAGCGTTCCGGACGGCTACCTACAGGAAGTTTGTTGGACCGGTTGGATTCGTTGGATTCGTTGGATCCGTTGGATTCGTTGGATTCCGGGAGGACTCCGGGAGATGCGCCGGTGGGTAGGACACGAGCATGTTCTCTTTCTCACTCCCGACCTGGAGTGGAGCGACAAGCATGCTTCCGCATCACATCTACATCACATGCCCACACGCTGTCGCCGTCTCCTGGGATGGACTCTGGAGGGCTTGCTTGCATCGTCTACGATGCGAGGCGAATACCCGCGCGGAAGTCGGGATATGGATAACTATGAATTACCCTAGCCGTGGGTGGATTGGAGGCCGGCAGCGAGAGGCAGGGGGGTGGAATTTACGTGATATCGCCGGCATGCACTCCGCCTTTCTGCTTGCCTGCCTGTCTAGCCGTTGGACTGGACTGGCCGTTTGATTGGACTGGTTGCTGCTGGACTGGACTGGCCGTTGGACTTCACGGAAGGGAGGGAAGGGGAGGGAAGGAAATGAAGCGAAAACCAAAAACCAACGGATGATTTGTCGATTCGTTATTGCTGGACATACACACACACATACATACACACACGCATACACACACGCAATATCGACCGTCCATATCCATTCCTGCCGTGCGCGAGACGATACGATATGATATTATAGGATACGATAGGATAGGGCAAGCCAGGCGTACTTACGGTAGGTATGTACCTGCATATTGCGACTTTACTCCACCACTCTATTCTCCTCTATCCACTGCCCTCCCCCCGCCCATCGCATGGGAATCCACGGTCCATGGTCGAAAGCACATACCGGGTATGTATGTACGTTCAGCTATGATGGAGCATTCAGCACTACAACGAGCAATCACTCTGCAGCCGGTGACCGTCCGTCCGTGCTCAGGTACATACATATCCCGCCGGACCCTACCCTACCCTACTATGTACATACCCTATGGAGTATGTACATACAGTAGGTACAGTACGCAATCCATGCGCCGGTGATCAACCAGAACTCAGAAGTCGTTCGCTCGGTAGTTGTTCGCAACCCGCTGTCCGTCCGTCCATCTGATCCGAGCACCCTGCTCACGGTACCTGCCTACTCTACTCTAATAGTACTCGTACTCTACAGCCTGCCGTATGTAGTGTTTTCTTCTTTTCCATCCCATGCCATCCCATCATCTTACAGGCATCATCAT